CATGGCACTCTGCCCAGGGGGACAGCTTGGGGCTCTGTCTCAAAAAAAAAAAGAATCTGGGACCTAATTGAGCTTCCACCTGGTTTGCACAGCCAGCACTTGTGTATAAAAGCACTTAACATGCTCCGGAGCTACGCTCATATACTTGCGTTGTATAATGAGTTGAATGAATGAGCATTTACTTCTTTCAGGAAAATGCAAAAAACATTCAGCAATCTGACACCGAAGCCTGATAAAAAAGATGGTTTTTAGAATTAAGCCCATCAAGTTAGATGAATATCCATGTTAAAATTTTAAGGTTTTGACGTGAGTTAAATAAGTCAAAATAAAACGTGTTATGAGTCTTAAAAGAAAAAAAAAATCTGCTGAGTGACTGGTGATCGAGGGAGACACGTTTCCCCCCAGAAACAGAAAGTCAGCCTCAGGGAAGAGAAGAGAGACACCATCAGGGCAGATCTTTGAAATATGAAGTGGAAAATGACCAGCGTCGGGGAGGGGCCTGCCCAGGGCACAAACCACTAAGGAAATGCCTCAAACGTATCTTTCTCTGGAGGAAGCCATTTAAGGAATCTTTATGCCCCAGTAATTGCGGGGCTGAGAATGAGCTCAGAGAAGAGAGATGAAGAAACAGGCTGGACGAGGATCCACTCCGCTCTACTCAGGCTGTCAGGGCGCTCACTCCGAGGCTTTTCCTGGAACCGACAGGGTGGCAGCACTGATCAGGTGACACTCACTGGTGAGGATATTCTGAGCCCAAGTGACAAAATAATGTGGATCAATCAGAGAGTGCCAATGGCCCACCCTCGAGAGCTTCCAGAGAAGCGAGGGATAAAATCAGCACTCAAGAGGCTGCTGAGACACAGGTGCCTGTGAGCCCCTGCCTGTCCCAGCAGGTCACTCCAGGAGGCTGACACCAGTTTGAGCCCCACTCCACCCCCCATCAAGGCTAGCAGAAGAAAACAGTGGGGTGTTCCTAAGGAAAGAAATCACATCTAAGAAATTCATTACAAATGTTATGGATTAGGGCGGCACCCATAGCTCAGTGTGTAGGGGCGCGCTGGCCATGTACACCAAGGCTGGCGGGTTCAAACACGGACCAGGCCAGCTAAAACAACAGTGACAAATGCAACAAAAAAACAGCTCAGGATTGTGGAGGGCACCTGTAGTCCCAGCTACTTGGGAGGCTGAGGCAAGAGAATCACTTAAGCCCAAGAGTTTCAGGTTGCTGTGAGAGCTATGACGCTACAGCACTCTACCGAGGGCGACAGCTTGAGACTCTGTCTCAAAAAAAAAAAAAAAAAATGTAATAAATAGGCAAGAGAGTAATAAGAAACCTTATAGGTAATCTGCATCCTTTAGAAGACTGATGATCCTTCTGGAATGTTCCAATAGCTATCAAAGACTTACTACATACCAGTCACTTGCTAAGCATTTCACAGACCATATCTCGTTTAATCCACCATCATCCACGTTTTACAGACAAGCAAGTGGAGTCTTAGGGAGGTTGAGAAATGTTCCCAAGGTCACAGAGCCAGCCAGAAAGTGACAGAACTCAAACATGTGTCCCACTATGTCTGATTCCAAAAACTATATGCTCTTTCCACTATGGTGTAGAAAATTATGCACTGGAAGTCTAGACTAGATGACTTCTTAAGGCAGTGGCTCTCAACCTTCCTAATGCTGCGATGTATTTTCATTGTTACAAAGGGGTCACGACCCACAGGTTGAGAACTGCTGTCTAAGTGTTCCTTATAATTAAAAACTTGAGTCGCCAAGAGGTTAATGCGGTGTTCGTGGTTGTGGCATAGAAGGGGAAATGAGCATTATGACAGCA